CACAGGTAAAATTATAAACCTTTTCCAAATGTGTTATATTAGAAAATTTTTATAAAGAATAGTGAGTTATTCCTAAAGTTTTTCAGCAATAATCACAATTAAAAAAACTACTAGAATAGCATTAGAAAACCTTTGTATTTATCTTCAAATCAAAATATGAATATATATAACAAGTTTTTATAAAACAAATAGAAAATATTTAAAAAACTAATAAAAAACTTTAAGAAATATGTCGTACGCACCGGGTTTTGCAGTGCAGGGGCAATGACGACAGATAATAAGTAATTTAGAGTTTATTTTTGACAATCGGTAGTATAAAAAATTAAATAAATAGGACGTTCGATCAGTGTATGATCGAACTTATTTTTTTCTTTCTTGAACTTGTGTCGAATAAATCCAATAGTATAAAAGAGATTAGGTGTGAAAAAAACTTTTAGATAAGCATAACCAATGCAAAAATTAAAAATAGCAAATATTTAATAAACTTTTAGTAGGCGTACATTATTTATCATATATAACCTATATTTCTTACAATGCCTAAGTGCGATTGTCCAAAATGCCAACCGTTAGGTGGTAAACTTTTATCATGGAGGACTTGGCGGCGACATCAAAAAAATAATCATTCTCACCATACATTTACCAAGCAGACTCTATCTAATTCAGCTTCTTCAGCAAATAAAAAGCCTATAAGACCCAACACACATAGTAATTACTCGGATAAATGGAAAAATAAAACAGATTATGTTGACAATGAGAATGCAATGGATTATTTTGATGAGATTGAAATGAATGATTTTGACGAGAATGAAATGGATAATTTTGACATTGCACTGTCAGAATCATCTTCACATACAGAAATGGCAGAAAATGTTACACAGTTACAAGAATGTAGTAAGGTATATAATTAAAAGCTTTGTTTTTAAATATTTGTGAAAGAATTTCTTATTTAGTATATACTATATAAATAAATAGCCAGCAACGAATAGAAGTTCTTGTAAATCAAAAAGATCGCCATTAATACTATTAGATAATTTTCCGAAGGATAATTTTGATCGAAGTAAACACGATCAAAGTGAAGATGGTAATTCCGATCAAAGCGAAGATAGTAATTCTGATCAAAACGAACACGATATTGATCAAGACATTGAAGAAGAAACTGACGTTGAAGATGAAACTGATGAAGAGTATAATACAATTATATCATCACCATTATTAAATGTTAATTATTCAGATCTGTGTGGTATTATTCTGGAACCATCATACAACTCTGTACAATTTTTATACAATCCGCCGCTTTTGAAAGAAAATCATGTGATACAATGGATTATTCTTTGGTTATTCTTGTTTCAGCGATCATTTATGATTACCAAAACTGGAATTATAACTTTAATTATCTTCTTTTATCAAGTATTAACATATTTAGACATTTTTCAATTTCAAAATTTTCCACGAAGCCAACATTATGTAGAAAAACTTATTGCACAATCGAGCTCCGTTCTCAAATATACTGTATGTTTACACTGCCATTCTCTTTATTTATCTACGGATTTGCCCTTAAAAACTTCAGAACATACAAAATGTCTTAAATGTGGACAAGTAATAACAAAAGCTGTTAGAAGATCGGGAGGAAAACTTAAATATAAAGTTAAGTAAAGCCTTTCTTAATAATTATCTCGGACATCACGTGAGTCGACTAATTTTAATATTTAAAATTTAAAATTTAACATTTTTATAGCCTTTAGCAATTTATCCTTACCAATCTATTATCACGAGAATTGCGTCAATATTAGCAGATGAATCTAATGAAAAATTAATGGATTCACCATTTAAACGACAAGTTGAAAAAGGAGTATTAGGTGATATCTACGACGGGAAAGTTTGGAAAGAATTTTTAGATGAACGAGGACAACCTTTTTTTGTAGGAAATAATACTGATGTTCGAATTGGATTAGCTTTTAACCTTGATTGGTACACTCCATATAGTCATGTTAAACGAAGTTGTGCACCAATATACATGACAATTCTTAATTTTCCAAGGCATTTAAGATATCGAAGTGAAAATCTCATTCTCGTCGGCATTATACCCGGCCCAAAGGAACCAGATACAAATCAATTGCAAAATTATCTTCAGCCTATGGTAAATGAGTTAAAGCAACTTTGGAGTGGCCAACTATTTAAAACCGCTCAATACCCAATTGGGCGTATGTTTCGTTGTGCATTAATTCAAATTACATGTGATATACCAGCTGCGCGCAAGGTATT